TAAGTTTAAAGTTTAAAGTGATAAATGAATGATACTTAAGCAAATATGAAATTTCTCAAGGAGGTATTAACTTGTTTTTTGCAATCATAGTATCAGGCTTTTATTGTTAATTAAATACTACACTGAAAAGATTTCATCATAAATAAAAAAATTAAGTTTAAAGTGATAAATGAATGATACTTAAGCAAATATGAAATTTCTCAAGGAGGTATTAACTTGTTTTTTGCAATCATAGTATCAGGCTTTTATTGTTAATTAAATACTACACTGAAAAATCTCATGATTTCATCACAATTAAGTCATACCTCGAAAACATCATTGTGGTTAATAACATGCTTCAGGTTCCCAGAGGCTTTCCTATCTGCAGTCACTGGTAAATTTACAGGACTGGTCTCCACTTTAGGTTCACTGATCTTCTGTACTGAGTTCCCTGTCACACACTTTTCTCTTTCATCAACTTTGTTTTTTACTGTAGTACTTTCTGAAGTCTACATAAAAGATAAAGACCTCATATTAAGTTTTATATATATTATTGTATTAAAAATTAAGATGAAATTTGTAAGTAATACAGCAACTTCAAATGTTAGATAAATATTAAAGAAACTAATAATGGAAATTAGCACTCACTGATAGAATGTTCATTTGGCAGTCAGGTGGCTTATACAGACTGATGAGTACATTAAAATATATAATTCAGCAAAAGCTACCTTTCCTCAAAGAAACCAGAAGGCTGATGTGAGCAGTGAGTCAGTAAGTTCAGCATGCTCACAAAGAATAGTTAAATAATTTTCTGCCTATTGTTGAATACAAAGTAACTCTAATGACATGACAAAACTTTTGTTTGGGGGTGGGTGCAGAGAAAACTTAACTAAAGAAATACAGAACTTAAGAAATTTGTATACATTTCTGAAACAACCTAGGGAAAAGTCAAATGTCTATCATAGCAATTAACTTAAAATTAGAATTGAGTAAAGTGACTTAATATCAATATAACAGGGGGAAAAGAATATTTCTCTAATACCTCTCTGACAATCATCATCTTAGGCTTTGTTAATAATGATTTTCCTCATGGCTATATTAACACTATCCTGAGACATTCGACAGCCAGACAACTACAATGAGAGCAATTAGAGACTTCACCAAGTTCACTTTCCAGTTCAGGCAACTGAGAACAAAACTGAATTTTGAAAGAAATTTAGCATATAAATAACATACTACAAATGCCTCAAAATTGTAGGTAACTTAAAAGAGCTTTAGCCCATTACTTTGAGTTTTCTAACCTTCACACCCAGATCTTTATTTACAACTTGTTGATCTTCACGTGGTTTCAAATCTCTTCCAGAGTCTTCAATGGTTTCTTCATCTTTTAATCTATGTACAATAGTTTGAACAGTTTTGACCATATTCTTAAGCTCATCTGGGTATGGTGTTGGATATCTCTTTAAATTTCCCTCCTAGAGAAATAAAAAGTATAAATATTGCTAACATTAATCTTATGGAATTTAATGTACAGTCCACCTGAACATCTAGCTCATGGGGATAACTATGAATACAGGTAATGGGTCTTAAAATGCCTTTAAAGTACATTGCTTATTTGTTTTGTGTGCATTTGCATTTGTGTGTGGTGTATGTGCAGCAGGGCACTGGACAATTTGCGGGAGTGGGTTCTCTCCTCCCACCATGTAGGTCCTAAGATCAAACTCATTCATCAGGCTCAGAGTTAAGTACTCTTAACCACAGCCATCTTGCTGGTCCCAGATGTTGGGCTTTCAAAGTATTTTAGGCTTGATAAGAAAGTAGTTTTCTCAAAAAATAGAGACTTTACAGTATTTTTAAATGTTCTGTGTGTGCAAATGCACACATGCACATGCTCACCCATGCATTTATGTGTGGAAGTCAGAGGCAGATGTAGATTTTCTTTGATATACTGCTCTCTACCTTTAATTTTTTTTTTTTACTTATTTTTATTTTATGTATATGAATGTATTGCCTGCATGTATGTATATACACCTGTGTTGTACAATGCCAGCAAAGGTCAGAAGAGGGCACTGGATCCCCTGAAACTGGAGTGACAGACAGTTGTTAGCCACCATGTGGGTGCTGAGATTTGAACTTGGGTCCTCTACAAAAGCAGCCAGTGCTCTTAACTGCTGAGCATCTTTCCAGCCCCTCTCCACTGTATTTTTGAGGCAGACTGAATCTGGAGCTTGCTGTCTCAGCTAGACTGACTGATGAACGAACACTGGGGATCAGCCTGTCCCTACCTTTTCAGTGCTAGAGTTACAGTCTTGTTGCTGTCAACCTGGCCTACTTTTCTAGGTACTGGAGGTCTGAACTCAGGCTCCTGTGCAGTAAGCATTTCTCACTGAGCCATCTCCCCTTCCTCCTCAATATTTTAATGCTTTTCTAGCAGACTTATATTTCTATAGCATAGAGATACTGCCCCAAATTCCTGTCTCTTGCCTTTGAAACATGGATGCTTTCCAGCACATAGAGAAAATTGCTATTCTAAACTGGGTGTGGTGACACACGCCTTTAATCCCAGCACTCAGGAGGCAGAGGCAGGCAGATCTCTGTGGGTTCAAGGCAAGCCTGGTCTACACCCTGAGTTCCAGGACAGCTGGGGCTACAAGGAGACCCTGTCTCAAAAAGACAAGAAAAAAAAAGAAAGAAAGAAAAGGAAATATCGCTAGAATATGGGAGGGAAAGGTTAGTTCAGTAAATTTAAAAAGCACCGACTGATAGATTAAAGTTATTAATTTCTCTAGCCTACAATAATTTGTTTGGCTCTTGCATTTCTATGTGCTTGAAACTCAGCTTTTCTCCTTTCTCTTTTTTTCCTCAGTGCTGGGGTGCTAACTCAGGGCCTTTCACATGCTCTATCAAAGACAAGTGATCTACCTACTAAGTAACCTCTCTACCTGAAATTTAGCTTTGAGTGACAGTATTATTTTGTTCTCAAATTCTTTCATGAACTATTCTGTATCAGTAAGTACCCTGAGGACAAGCAATGAATCTAATATTTCTTTGTATCCACAAAACAGCATAACATAGGCATATAGCACCAGCTTAAATACCAGATTTATTGTAAACTTGAAAGAAAAATGCTCAAACTCACCCTGGGGGGTGCCTCTCTTTCATCTTTGTCTTCATCACACTCAAATGCCACCTGGGCCCGCTGTTTCCTCTGTTCTTCCCACAATGAAGGATTAAAACTTTCATTATCTGATATGAGCATAACTAGAGGACAGTACAAGAAAAAACTATTATACAGTAATCATTAAAAAACCTATTACTTATTCACAATTTTCATTATTAAAACAAGTCTTTGACAAATATGGCTGGTCAATGCTAACAATGATAAATCCCAAGGTAAAAAAAATGGGCTTCGGTTTTTAGATTTCTGATTTTTTTTAAAGATTTATTTTCTTTTAATCATGTGCAAATGTCTGTGTATGGACATATACATCTAAGTGCAGCTGCCCATGGAGGCCAGAAGAGGTCAGATGCTTTGGAGCTAGGGCTTACAAGCAGTTATGAGCTGCCTGATATGGATGCTGGGAATTGAACTCCAATTCTCTCGAAGAGCTGAGCCATCTCTAGCCCCAGATTTTAAGATTTCTTAAATTTTTCAAAGTCAACTGCAACTTTTTCTTCCCAGAAGTTGAATTTTCTCTTTTGTTACCAGAAGAGTTCTTGAAGTCACTGATTACAGGAATATTGCAGATACATAGTTCTGCACAGTGCCCTAAAAACTTTAAAATGGTAATGCTACCACACATAAATCCTTTCATCCAGTTTTACAATTGTATTTTCCTAATAGTAATCATGTATATGGAGGGATTAAAAAGTTTGATGACAGAGGCTGGAGAGATGACTTAGTGGTTAAGAGCACTGACTGCTCTCACAGAGGACTCTAGGTTTGGTTCCCAGCACCCACATGGTGGCTAACAACCATCCGTAACTCCAGCTCCAGAGGATCCAATGTTCTCTTCTGACCTCCATGAGCACTATACAACATGGGTGCACTTACATACATGCATGCAATACATTCATATGCATAAAATAAAAATAATAAAATATATTGTATGTAGGGGCTGGGGAGATGCATAGCAGGTAAAGCACTTGGCCTCACAATATATATTAATACTTTAACGACTTTTATGGGGTTTTTGCTATTACTATGGCTTAAAGTAATTTATTCAACTATTACATCACTCTATAAAAATTATATAATACAAAAGAAATCACAACTTTTGCCCATTAAAAGAATATGAACATCCTTAATTAAAAAGAAATGTATGGAGGGGGGAAGTGAGGAGGAATATACTCAATATGTAATATATACACGTATGAAAACTTTAAAATTGAAAAGAAAATTGTAAACTGGACACAGTGGTGCATGTCTTTAACCCCAGTACTTGGGAGGCAGAAGCAGGCAGATTCTCTGTGCAATCAAGGCCAGCCTGGCCTCTCGGCCTGCTGTGTCTACAGGGAGATCCTGTCTCAAAACAACAACAACCAAAAAAAACCAACAACAACAAAAAAACACACAAAAAACAGGGCTGGAGAGGATGGCTCAGTGGTTGAGAACACTGACTGTTCTTACAGAGGACCCAGGTTTGAGTCCAGGACCCATATGGCAGCTAGCAACCATCCGGAACTCCAGTTTCAGGGGGATCTGATGCCCTCCTTTGACCTCCATGGGTATTGAACGACATGGGTGCACTTACACACATAGAGTCAACACACTGATATTTTTAAAAAGAAAATATAAAATATTTTAAAAACTTAAAAAAAACAACAACCCCAGCCTCCAAATTTTATAAAATCACAACCTAAACATGTAGGTTACACACTGAAGAAAGAAAAAAAATTTAGAGACCTCAAATTAGCTAATAAACAGAAATTCCTAGAATACATGAATATACAAACATTGACACTTATGCAAAAAGTGATACTCAAGATTTTAAATTATGATTTGTACTAAAATCCTTGCTTGAGATTTCTTTTCCTTTTTAAATTTTGTGTCCACACTAAGGATATCATAAAACAAATAGGGGGAATGGGATTTTGACTGTTACTGGCTTTTTGTTGTTTGTTTTTAAAATCAGGGTTGCTAGCCCCACTTGTTTCCAACTACCTACGTATCTAAGGGTGACCCTGAATTTCTGATCCTCCCATCTCTACCTTCCAACTGCTAGGATTACAGCTTGAAGATTGAAATAGGAGTTGTGTGGATGTTAGGCAAGCACTCTATGGGACCCTTGTTTGTTTAATTTTTCTTTTTTGATTTATTTATTTTTATTTTGTGTATTAGTGTTCTGCCTGCATGTAAATGTACCCATGTCATACAATGCCTGCAGAGACCAGAAGAGAATGTTGGATAACCTAGAACTGGAGTTACAGATGGCTGTTAGTCATTATGTGGTTGCTGAGAACCAAACCCAGGTCCTCTACAAGAGCAGCCAGTGCTCTTAACCCGAGCCAGCTTTCCAGTCCTGTATGCCTCCCATTCTTAATAAATTCTGGTTAACTACACTTCATACTCTTGTATAAATTTCTTATCTTTACAAGTTCTGGATACTGAGTAGTATTATTTTCTACCCATTTAGAGTCCAACAAATCTGAACATTGAGGCATGTTCATTCAACACTCTAGTATTTGGTTCCAGGCCTTCGCTTTCAAGACCTACCAATATCCTGAACTATGTTAATCTGTGATGATGCCACCCACCACTAAAATTTAACCCTTCCCAGATGTCATCAATCCCCATGTTCATCTGCACTTCAGCTAGGTATATGGGAAATTATAGTAAATACTTGGGAATATATCAACAAGATTTGTCTGTTTGCTTTATTAATCAGAACTCATGTCTCACTTTTCAATTATCTCTAAAAATGATTTCTGAGTAAGAGGAAATAGTAGTAAACATTACAATTTGAATTTGAAAAGTCCCCAGGTGGCTTTTTTTATTTTATTTTTTTTTGAGTTGGTGAAATGTTAGGAGCTGGGGCTATGCTGGAGCAAGCAGGTACTGGGGTACACCTTGGTGACTCCAGGTCCACAGTCTCTTCCTCTGCTTCCCTGATGCCATGATGTGAACTGTTCTGATCTAACACATTTTCTTCACCAAGATGAAATAAGATTTCTGAAACTATGAACCAAAATAAATCTTCCTTCCAGTTGTTTTTCCTGACTGTTCAGTTACAATGCAAAAACCTGCCTTAACATAATAAGAAAGATATACTTCCTAATATGATAATGCTCTCAATTATATAATCTGCTCAAATAATTGTTCTTTTGGTAGAACAGAATACTAGTGCTTAAAATTCTTGTAAGGAAAGAAAATACATGATTTATTAGTTTGGAGAAGAGTAATATTTTAATGTTCTATTCACAGACTGGCATAAAGGGACATATAATAAATTTTTTTAGGTTTATAGACCATAAAGGTTATGTTGCTAGCATTCAACTTTAGGTTACAAGGAGCCATAGACAGCATGTTAATAACTGGCTGGTTCAAATGGAACTATAATCATATAAGATAAGGAAACTAAAAGTCAACTAACTTAACCTGCCCAGAGCATAGACTAATGATTTAAATGTACACTTTTCTTCAAGATTATGTATTGAATGAGTTAATTTGTAAATAACTTCAAACCACAGCTATTTTCACTGGCTTCAGAGGGTGTGTGTGAGTGTGTGTGTGTGTGTGTACACTTTAAGTACAACTTTAAAAATGTCACACACATACACATAGCAACAAGCATCTGATCTTCAGTCTTCATAAGTACACATCTGCAGCTAGTATTAAAGAATATATTCACCCTTGTTAGGCAAAACAGAGGCAATAACTTAGCAGTGACATTTATAGTCAGAATTTCTTAGATCACCTTGATCTAGTGTGTGGATTCCAAGGACATTGTTTAAAACAAGAGTGGAGAGAATATGCCCTGGTTTAATAGTTCTAATCACACAACACTTTAACATGCATTTATAACATTTAGGTAAATGTGAGAGCTATAGCTCATGATGTTAGCAATTTAAGTTAAACAAACAATTTAAGGAGACACATGATATATTTTTATACCTCTAAGTTCAACTGTCTATAATTCAGAGATGTTACTTTATCGAAGTGTCAAAGACCCAAAGTGTCAAAGAGGTAAGATTTAGTTAAAATTCTCTTGGCACCTTTGCCATATTTAGTATTTGGTTTTCTTTTGGGGCGGGGGGAAGAAATTCTGAAATTCCTACCATCCTCAGTCCTTGGTTGCTGAGGGAACATGTAGTTAGTAAGCACCATTTTCTGAGTCTCGGAATCAGTTTCTTTTTGAAGAGGTATCAGAGGTTTAGACTGGGGAAAGAAAATAGTTATTTTTCAACAACCGTAAAGAAAATACGTATCAGGGGTTGGACAGATGGCTCAGCGGTTAAGAACACTCGTTGCTCTTGCAGAAGACCCGGGTTTGAATCCCAGCACCCACATGGCAGCTAACAATCGTCCGTATCAGCTCCAGGGGCTCCAACAGCCTCTTCTGACCTCTGCAGTTTTTTTTGGTCTTTTTGAGACAGGGTCTCCCTGTAGCCCCTGCTGTCCTGGAACTCACTATGTAGACCAGGCTGGCCTCAAACTCACAAAGATCCACCCGCCTCTGCTTCCCAAGTGCTGGGATTATAGGCGTGTGCCACCACACCCAGCAATTTAAAAAGAAAATACATAGCAAATAATCCCTCTGAATAAGCACTCACCAGTTTTGTAAAAGTATCAAGATACAGTTTACAAAAGCAAATTTAAATATATACCATAGCACCTTGAACAATGACTTGGAACCATGTAAAAATCTAAACCATGAAACTTAAATTTTGTTATAATACAAATCTACTATATTGCAGTATCACTGAAATATAACTTTAAAAGATTTCATTATACCAAGGATAGCTATAGCCTAAGTATTCCTAATATATACAGTGATATATTAATGAAGTTATAAAATATGCTTTCCCATTTTATGTTATATTATTGTTACTAACTTCCCTTTTCAAAGATGGAAAAAAAGAAACATTTGGAAGGTTTAATCTAGTCAACTAAAAGTGTATTCTAGTTAGTTGCTAAAAAGACAGTGCTTAAGACAATAACTCAGCTGAAAACTACTTCTCTCTCCTGCCTCCTATCTCCATGAATGGCATCAAGTGACTCAATAGAGACTAGGTATTTTGGACTTCAATTTTTCTTAATATCTTTCCCCTAATTGGTTAACAAGTATTTCAATCTCCTTCTTAATACAACTAATTCTCTGCCGCCCCCCTGCCTCAATCTATTCACTTAAAAATAAAAAAGGACTCCAGGTAGGCATGGAATTACATAGCCTTCTCTTCTGTTTATCAGTTCATTGTTTGGACATGCTCTGGTGAAAACCTGACAATTCCACCCTGCACTCTTACTCAACACATTTTAGACTTTGTGAATGCACTGTGTTCAACAATGAACTGTCTTAATTTTCAAATTCTGACCATTTTCCTCGACTTCCTCAAATAATGGGAGTGGTAGCCCTACTCTGGGCTGATTTTTCTCTCACATTGTTTATCCCAAGTCAGGAATGATAGCACTAGCAGTGCTATGAGATCACAATGCACAATGGTCTATCTTCAAATGTCAACTCCTATTCCTGTAGTAATAATGCTGGTTTCTAAATGAAATCTTCTTTTTTTATTACTCACTGAGCACCCCTGGTAATATCTATCTTCAGGTCAAGCATACCTAATTCAAAAAATTTTGAATGTTTAAAAATCTTAAATGTTTTTCGCACAAGTATGATGTCACAAGTGAAACAAGTACATATTTGATCTCAAGTGACACTGTATAGTCAAAACGCACAAAATTATTTTTTAAAGATTGTATAAAATTACTTTCAGGATATGTGTATAAGAGAGACATGAAACATAAATGAAATTTAGATTTAGAGCCCAAGATCACATTATCTACAAACATTCCAAATTTTAAAATAAAATTCAAAATCTCCAACAGATCTGGTCCATAGTACGTCAGATAAAGGATATTCAATTTGTATTTCCACATCTTTTACACCAAATTCTTCCAGTGATAGATAACTCAACAGATATAGAATATAAATGACCTGGCTATACTCTTGGCCCAATAGTTTCTTAGTGTGTGAGGAATGTGGGGGAAGGGAAAAAAATCCCTTTAATTGGGAATTATCAAATATCTATGTTTTTAAAAACCAATCTCCCTGAAACTATTCTGCTATTGTCCTTTTGTACAACACATTGCATATACTAAAAATCACTGAATTACACATTTTTAAAAGGGTGATGTAAATGGCTTCTGACTTATACCTTAATAATCTAATTACCTGTTACTTATGAGGCACATGGACAGAAAAATGGGTTAATTTTTCAAGTCTCTCACTTCCTTGAACACCTAACTATTGATCTTTAATCCCATTTAATTTCAGATGTTCACTCAATTCCCTTGAACACTCAGAATGCTACCTCTAGGTCTTCATCCTCTGAAATCTAAAATCATTCATTGACTATTTACTAAGAACATTTTATATTGAAGCACTATGAAAAGCACTGGGCAGAGAGGAGAGAGCAAGACAAGTATTTTTGCTGACAGAATTTAAGAGTACGTAAGCAGAATATAAATAACAAAATCATCAACTACAATATACATAATTACAAGGTGGACAAGGTATAGGGTGCTAAGAGATCATGTGAGATCGGTGTTCACTTTATTGGTGTCTTGGATGATTAGGTAAGGAAAAGAAAATAATAAGGTAGGTAAAGAGAAGGTTCTCAAAGAGAAGTCATTTAGTGAAGAAAGAATGAAGATGTCAGAGGTAAAGAAGCAGCTATAGGATGAACAAGGTCCTGAGGCACATAAGAAAGCTCATGAAAATATTTTAAGTAGGTTAGTGCCAAAATAAGATTAAAGTATCATCACACTGGGCATGGTGGTGCATGCCTTTAATCCCAGCACTTGGGAGACAGAGGCAAGCAGATCTCTGTGACATTGAGGCCAGCCTGGTCTACAGAGTCAATTCCTTGCCAGGTGGGGCTATAGGGAGACTGTCTCAAAAAGAGGGGGCAGGGGGAGAAACATAGATCATTATAATTATCTACTAGTCCCTGGGTTTGATTCCAAATACAGGGGGGAAAAAATTAAGATGGGCATGGTGGAACACACCTGTAATTCCAGCACTCTACACAGGATGAAGCAAGAGGCCAGCCTGGGCTACACAGCGAGACCTTGTCTTGAGAAAAAAAATAAGGGGGGAGGAAGATGAAATTAATTAAATGCATTCAATTTAATGTTCTTCAAAAGGTTATAATTTTTAGCATATAATCCAAAATAAAAATTATGAATGCAAAATATTTTTCTGACCACACTAGGGCTAAAATTAAGTATTTATTTTAATTAAACCACATCTTAATTTGGACCAATTACTTGTGACACTAGTGGGTACTGCACTGGACAGTGCAGTTCTAAATGAAAGATGATGGTGAACAAAGGTTAAGGGAAGTGGCAATAAAGATAAAATGAGCATGCTCACACATAAGGTCAAGATTCCACAGGACCTGGTGAAGAATGAACTGGAAGTACAAGGAAACTAGTAATCAAGGGTTACACTCCCATGTCGACGCCATCAAACTAGGAATCCCATGAAAAGAAAATATTTGGGGCAGAAGATGGTATGCTCAGTTTTAGGCTGGCTGAATCTGACACATTTAGGTGGCAATGTTAAGTAGATACTGAGCTACATGAATGACTTAGGCATGGGTACCAGGCAGGATATATTGCCAGAAATAAAGAGGATACAGAGAGAAGTTTGAGAGGCAGTATAAAAAATAAAGCAGCGGATCGTCATCATGCAAGCCACTGAGAGAAGAACCAAGCCTGAAAAGGAACCCTCAGAGTCATCAGATGAGCAGCAGAGCATGGTCACTGATACCAGGCATCTCTCCAAACCTACAATTCCCACCATAATTGCTAGTCACCCTCACCAAGACCACACATCTCTTCATCTTTAAAATTTTTGCATCATTTGCTCCCTTCTCCCTTTTTGTACAGTACCATATTTTATGTGAACCACTTTCTTCTCAGTCATCAAGATCGCTTTCCTGTGCTGTCCTTTTCTTATACCTGGGTTGGCAAAGCCTAGAGAATTCCAATGGGTGCTTCGTAAACTTTTATTTCTATCACACAGCTGCACAAAATAGTATCACTCCAAATCTGACCTTCAGGGATCTATCAAAATTAATCCTGAAAGCATTATTATCTCCTTTTTACATTACCATTACAGATTTTTGCTTATATCACAAGTCTGTAGTATTGTTCACAATAGCCAAGATAAGAAAGCAACCCAAGTGTCCATAAATGATGAATGGCTGGCAAAAGAGAATGTAGTATACACATAATGAAATGCTTTTCAGTCTTTGTGATTTCCTGATCTTCATTATATTAATTTTTATGGGTTTAGAGACTGGTTGAAGTGCAACAAAATGTATTACTTATTTATCTATAACTGTATTAAAATTATGTTTCTAAATACCACAAAATACTTCTTTATGTGTACCAAGGAACAACTTCTCTTAAATGGTCTTATGTAATGAGAGTACATAATTATGTAATACACTTGGAATTCCAGTGATTTACTAATCAGAAAGCCCACCTGATTATCTGAGAGCCACATGGCAGTCAATTGCTGTAGCTTTGTAAAGCTAAAGGGTAAATTCTTTAATCTGTGGGGAAAAATACAAAAATTAAACCTAAAAATAAGACTATTTAAAACGATTACAAGTTTGCATTGAGGTGTAGCTCAGTGGTTTAAAAGTACTTACCTAGCATAGACCCTGGCTCTCTACCCCCCAGTACCACAATAATAAAATAAATAAAATAAAGTTCAAAATAAGGGTCTTCTGAACTATCCTAAATAATGGTATATGCAAACATATAAAAAGGGAGAGTTAAGTCAAATACAGGCTTTTGTATAGGAGAAAGGACAAAAACAGTATCTAATTTCAAAAATATAATTCTCCAACTGAATCAATTCCACAAGGCAAAAAAATGGGTAATCTAGTAAGTTACAAAATTATCTATTAAAAATAACAATCAACTATTCTTGGCTCACAGAAGGGGACATATTATGTACTATCTCACAATTTTCTTTCTTCTTTCTTTCTTTCTTTCTTTCTTTCTTTCTTTCTTTCTTTCTTTCTTTCTTTCTTTCTTTCTTCTTTCTCTCTCTCCCTCCCTCCCTCCCTCCCTTCTTTGCTTCATATTTGGAGAAAATGTGCAATAGGAAGCAATCTTGGAGAGCTTATTATATATAAAAAACCACACTGCTCTGTATTTGATTTTAAGATGATAATAAGCAAAAATAAAGTAATATAAATGCTTATTAGAATGGTGAATTAATGAGCTCTGAGTTAAATATAATTTTGCTTCAACTTTGCCATCTTGGGCCTAAGTAGTCCTCTATGCACATCTCTGAAAACAGTTTATAAGTGTCTAGTGATGCAGTTAGAGAAGAACAAATATAGGATGAAACAAGGTTTAATATGGATTTAGAGGTTCTATTTAAATAAAATGGAACTCTTAAAATAAGGCTAATGAGTTAGAATACTTAAATTAAGGCTCTACCTTAAAAACTATGGGAGTCTTAAATTTCTTGTACATAAAAGGAAAATACATGTTGCACTCTTTCAAAGGATTATTTGAATATTTTTTGAGATACTACAAAAATAAAAAAAACACTCTACAAATGCTTTATTAGCCTCAGTGTCTTCATCACAGGAATTACTATTCCAATTTTGCAATCTCTGCACTGTGGCTTAGTGGCCCAAGCTGATCAGAAAAATATAAGCAACAGATAGGATTAAAAAGTTGCTTTGTTCAACAACAGTACCAAGGCAAAGTTAGGACTTCAAGAATAAAAAAAGGTTATGGTAAAGAGAGAATGAAGGTGCACAAAGATGGTAAGTCAAAACGAACAGTGACAATCACAATGTGATAGATAAAATCAGATAAAATCAGTTCTTTCAAATAAGGAATTTAAATACACATGAATAAACAGTTATTCTAGTGCACTTCACATGAAACTTTAATGTAGTCTATAAACAAACTGGTAAATATCACAAACCTATTATCACTTAAATTAATGACTTTTAATTTTTGCATATCACCCATTTCCTCTGGAAGTGTCTCTAGTTTATTAGAATGGAGAAACAGAACAGTTATATTTTTCCAGTTTCCAATCTGAAAGAGAAACATAAATTGGGAATCACAAACCTGGCCTATATTTTAATAAACACAAATATTTATTTGAAAGTTATGAAAAATACTTTGCATTTACAAAATTAATCACTTTTATTAGGATTTTTTATTATTGGCTTTCATTTAAAGTATTAAAAGCACTTATTCTAAGGTAACATGGCCAGCTATTCAGATAATACATAACTTGGTTAATTAATAAATTATTTTAGAAAGAAAATAAATAGGCTGGGCGTAGTGGTGCACGCTTTAATTCCAGCACTTGGGAGGCAGAGGCATGCAGATCTCTATGAGTTCAAGGCCAGCCTGGTCTACACAGTGAGTTTCAGGCCAGCTGGGGCTACAGGGAGACCCTGTCTAAAAAAAAGAAAGAAAATAAACCACTACCATATAGTTAAGGATGATTTTTAAAAAGTAAAGACAAAACCCAAAATAAATGTAACATACTGTACCTCTGGGGGTAATTGCTGTAAGTAATTATGATCTGCAGCAAAGGTTCTTATGTTAGTGAGCTGGCCAACTGATGAAGGCAAAGCTTCAATTTCATTGAAACTGCAATCCAGTTCTTCTATTGACATTAACCTTTAATTATAAGTGGAAGTACATTATGGTTTTAAGAATTTATTCAATATTTAGGAACACACGAACATGTGAACTTCAGCAAACAAACCTAATGAAATTCAGTACAACTAAATTTAGCTAGTAATAAATAAGTCTATCAATCTTCGTTATAAAAATAACTATTTTAAATGCCTCTGGAATCTTGTTTTATAAGTTATGTATGTAAATATCTGAAATATATATGGTACACTGAGCTAAAAGTAAAGGGTCAACACAGTCACAAAAACTTACCCTCCTATTGAGTCTGGCAGATACATTAATTGGTTTTCATCTATTTTAAGAGTTGTAACATTTTTCAATGAACCTATTGAGAAGAAACAATATATCATTTTTCAGTTTAAACTAGAAAACAAGTCCACCAACAGTCAACGTAAGACACATCATATTTGGTAAGAACTGAGATAAGACTTTATTAATCAATCCACTTAAAAGAGATACCACACCAACATCATCCACTCTACTCTCTTGCCTCATCTTCTTGTGTACATGAATGTGTTTATGTGTGCACACAGACACACATGGACATGCATGAATGTGCTTGTGGAGGCCAGAGATTAATCTCGGGTGCCTTCCTCTGGAGCTATCCCACCTTGGTTTTTGAGACAGGGTCTCTCACTAGGACGTGGAGCTCAATCTATTAGGCTAGGCAGGCTGACCAGGGAGCTCTAGGGACCTGCCTCCTCAGCACTGAGATCACAAATATGCATACCACCAAACCTGGCTTTTTACATTGGTGATTCACATTGGATTGAACTCAGGTCCTTATGCTTAACTAGTAAGTATTTTACTATGTTTTCAGCCCCCACCTCACTGTTTACCTTACCTGAATAATAGTTTACTAAGCCCCTCTAAAACACATGCTACCCAAGACAGACTTTGTCTGCAAGGTTTACTTCTGTAATCCTGTTTCTAAAAACAGAGTCATAGCATGAAGAAGAAACAATCTGAACTTGTTGAGTTACTAGATCAAAGAAGCAATAGTATGAGGCTGTTTATTAGAATATAACAAATCAGTATATGTATATAAATAGTAGAACATGTAAGTACTGATTAAATTACAATAGAATCAAAATGAATTTGCAAAATGTACCTTAGCTTAAAAGAACTGTGTAATTTAACTAAGAAAAAGGTACAAATACATCCATTTTACTATAACACCAAGAAGGTAAGATTTAAGTTTTTAGACTTTTAATTACAGTAATCCCTTTGCTTGATACTTTATCAAACAAGCAACTTCAGAAACACAGATTCAATAAAAACTGTAGATTTCCTTTTTAAATCAATCTCTGCATTCTTATCTATCAATCCATAGAGAAGTATCTGAAAAAAGTTACTAAATAAGGGCTGGAATTAAGAGATCAAAGAAAATTCAGTAAATTAATTTCTTTGTAAATAATTTACTTAAATTATAATACAGTTTTATATAATAAAATACAAAATAAAATTAAATGGGATTTCCTTAGGATAAATAAAAACAGTAACCAATAAAAAAGTAAATTGAACAACTCATCACATCAGAAAAACTTCAAGTGAGATTTGTACTACAAAAATAACAAAATTTGAGCTTCTATGAAAGTCAAAGCTTATGTTTTATGAAATAAAAAAAATTAAATTTGAAAGCAATACAAACCAATAGTTTCAGGCAGCTGCTGAAGCGAATTACTTGATAACAGTAAGTCTTGGAGGCTTTCACACACTGAAATTCCTTCTTCAACCATTTCAATATTATTTTTTGAAACATCCAAATATGTGAGTTGTTTTAAACTACCAATAAACTGTAAGTAAAAGACAGAAAATACACTCACTTTACCAAATAATTTGTAAAAAGTTTACATAATAAACATAATACGAAGTTTCAATTGATAATTAAATGTGAATGTTTTCCAAATGCCACCAGAAATAAAGCTGGTAATAAAGATAATATTTCCTATTAATTTCAGTCAGTGATATTCTTCTTTGAGAACTTAGGCACTCATTGCCTCCTATGCATGTGAGGGTTCTTCTGTGGCTTCTTTAGCTATGGGAACATATCACTTATTAGATAAAGCAGAAACCATCTAGTTTAACAATTTGGAGGAAAACTGAATTTAGTATAAATTCAATTGGTGCTAATAGAAATCATATATTCTTCAGTAGTAAAAAAGACTAATTTACAAAAATTTGTTATGAGACTTCTCAGATTTTTGCCGGGTATGTTAGCACACACCTTTAGTCCCAGTACTTGGGAGGGCAGAGGCAGGTGGATCTCTGTGAATTTGAGGCCAGCCTGATCTTCATAGTGAATCCAGGCCAGTTATGGCTACAGGAAGATCCTGTCTCAAAAAGACCAAAAAAAGGAAATCTCAGATTTTAGTCAAGAGTGTGTACATGTTTTTTAAAAAGTATAATTTGTTTCAAACTGTTTAATAAAAAATTTAAAACAATTCATTTTAAACTAATTAAAAGTATTTTTCCAATGTGCAATCCAAATACTGACAAGGAGAAACAGCAATAAATGAAGTGCAACTTCAAATTCCATATACATACCCCTGGAATAAAGGTCAGTCTATTACCATCCATCCAAAACTCTTTCAACCCATTTAGTTGCTCAAGTACTTCAGGCTGTTTGGACAGACAGGGAAACAAACCAATTAATTTACATGAATATCTTTATCTGGCAAAAGAGGTCCTGGGTCTTTCCATCATAATCTTTAGCTTCAAAACATTAAAGGGAAGCCAGGCATGGTGGTGAATGCCTTTAATCCCAGTACTAGGAGACAGAGGCAGAGGCAGACGGATCTCTGTGAGTTTGACATCAGCCTGGTTTACAAATCAAGTTCCAGGCCAGCCAGGGCTACACAGTGAGACCTTGTCTAAAAAAAGGTCAAAACCAAAACATTAAAAGAGAAAAGGCAAGGAGGAAGCACTGCCAAGATGTAACCTTTGAACTATACTACAGTGATGAATGGGAAAATCAAATCCCACAGAAGTAGGGTATATGAAACTCACTTAGGCTCCAGATTACCCAATTGAGTTAAGTGCTTTGTGTGTTTTGTTTGTTTGCTTGCTTGCTTGCTTTTGAGACAGGGTCTCACTATGTAGCCCTGGCTGGCCTGGAACTCCAGATTGGCTTCCAACTCAGAGACATTCACCTGCCTCTACCTCCTGAGTGCTGAGCTTAAAGATGTACACCACCACACTCAGCCCAGAGTCAAGGACTCACATATTTAATAAAGAAATAAAAAAGGACCCATTGCTTGGAAGTGTACAACAAAAATATTCTCATTCATTATCAAAATAAAGATATACAGCATTTTAGAAAATCCCTAGGGAAAACCTCAAGTGTTCCCAGGTGGTATTAATAAAGAGAAAAGAAATCTGTATCTTTCTTTAAAAAGATTTATTTTATAGCTGGGCGTGGTGGTGCACGTCTTTAATCCCAGCACTCGGGGGGCAGAGGCAGGTGGCTCTTGAGTTCGAGGCCAGCCTGGTCTACATAGTGAGTTCCAGGACAGCTGGGGCTACAGAGAGACCCTGTCTCAAAAAGATTAAAAAAAAAAAGATTTATTTTATTATTTATGTGTATGTATGCTAGTATGCATGTGTATGCAAAAGGGCATTGGATCACCTGGGGCTAGAGTTACAGGCAGTTGTGAGCTGCCCAAGTAGGTGCTGGGTACTGAACTCCTGCCCTCTAAAATAGCAAGTGCTCTCAACCATTGTGCCATTTTTGTAGCTCATACAATCTATATTTTATTTATTTCCAATAAGGAAATGTAAATAAGCAAAGGCATAACTACAAACAAGAATAATTTGTTATTTACACTCCTAGGAGAAATTATAATGACATGGTAGAAAATTATTTATATATGGTGTTGAGTGTCTAAATTTTTTAACCTCTGCATTATTGTGAACTTTAGTATTCTGTAAAATATGCCCTTGAGCACTGGCCATGTCAGGTTAAAGATCTGATTGTCTCCTTTGACATGGTTTCTGTCAACACACAAAGTTATGTGCGATCAATGACCATGCAATGGCAAAGAGTACTCCAGTCCTTTTATAGTCAACATTTCAACACAGTTCACTTAGAAGACAAAGCACAAACTCATCTGGCAAACCTCAACGCAAGCTCAAAAACAACAATTACTTCCCACAGTGATGTTCCCTTTAGCTACTGAGCAGAATTTGGAACTATGTGACATTTGCTACATTCTGTACTGCTTTTTTCACTTTTGTCAGATTTCCCTTTAGTTAATTTTTCTACTGGATTGAAAAGTTCAGGTTAAGAATTTTCTTAACTTATATCTCAAAAAGTATGTACATCTCATCTACTTTTTAAGGGAAATATTTCTACTTTCACAAAGTCTTGATGTTAAGACTTTGGGACAGTGAGACTGGTGAGAACTTACCACTTCTGTGAATTCATTACTTCCCAAATCCAGTCTTTCCAGCTGGGTCAGTCTATTCATGGTTCTATTGACAATGGAGTAATAAAGAATTAACAACACAAAACATCAATTACATGGAAGCTTTCAGATCTCACAGTTTAAAATATATTTATATAATGTACAGGCTTTCAATGCTAATTTTCCAAGAAAAGTCATTTTTAATTTCTACATAAAATGAATCAAGTTGTCAATTAGTCTCTAATTCTGACTTCTCATAGAATAAATTTTCATAATTATAAAATTTATATATATATATATAAATTAAGACTATTTGGCAGATACATAATAATTAATACAATAATTTCAGAAAGTCTTTTGCCAGTCTGCTTACAGATTTGTAAAACTTTAATAGTAAGAGAACCATAACTCTGGAAACTAGTTTTCAAAAGCACAGTAAATGTTACAAACTTTCTCAAATGTTTAAGTCATATCAAAATTCAAAATAAAGTTTTATAAGAATCACAAGTAGATAGTAACTTTAAGTTAAAACAAAAATAAATCATTAACTTTATACCTACACATCAACACTTCTCTGTAAGTCAGGGAAAAAAAACTAGAAAAATGCACAAATTAGTTTTGTAATGAAATAAATTGCACTGTACTTCTTCTACAAAAATGCCTTTTAAATCTAAATTGAGTGCTAATTCATTCAAACCTGTATTTGTGCTCTTGAACTGCTAAAATTAGAAAAACATACCTTTTACTACACTGAGAAGCTCTCAACTACCTAGATGAAAAATTCTGCATTTCTTATACAATGACTATAGCATAGGAGAAAATTGTATCATAACAATACACCGAGCTACTACTACTACTACTACTATTATTATTATTATTATTATTATACATCCAAATGTTAATGCATTGAAAATGGACACTATGTATATACCAGGACTACAAAGTGAGACCCTGTCTCAAAAAACAAAACAAAACAAACAAAAAACCCCAATGTGTAAAAATATGTCAAAAGATCAGGAATTTTCTCTTCTCTGAATGTTTACTATGTTGAATAAAACTCAGTTAATCCGTTTCTCCAGCTTTTCAATAAATATTAAGAACATACACATAACTATGATGGCACAATGTCACATGCCTAAATTGGGGGAAAACGAATTTTCTCCAACACATACACTGGACCACAACATGCCACTTACTTCATAATACTCATCTTTATCAAAATTACTTTAATTTAAAATGTGTGAAGTGCCTATTATCTGAGCTACAATTCTATTTCTCTTATTCACATCTATCTTGGTCTATAAAATCTAGAGAAGTTCTAGTTTCATAAAATAGCAAAAATAATCTCCATGGTCTTTACCTGGATGTATAAAACTCACAGGCTATAACAGTAAAAGGTAATATCATCAAACTATTAGAACAGGTAAAGATTGGAGAAAAGTGAAAAGGATAAGAGGAAGAGAACACTGAAAGACCAGTCATTTCTTTCTGTTTTGACACGGTTAAACTAACAAAATAACAGAAATTTAAATGTAGCGACTGAACACATTTGAACAACTGGGACAATTTGAAGAATTATCCTAGTACTTTTGGAAGAAACATAAATGAAAAGCAATGTATTGGGGGCTGGAGAGATGGCTCAGCAATTAAGAACACTTGCTGCTCTTGCAGAGGACTCTAAGTCCCAGCACCCACATGATGGTTCACAACCACTTGTAACTCCAGTTCTGGGAACCTGACGCTTTCTTCTGGCCTCTGTGGGCACCAGACTCACATGTGGTATACATACAAACATGGAGGCCAACACTCATACACATAAAATAATAAATAAATCTTTAAAAAAGAAAGAGAAGCAGTGAATTGGACAATCTACTAGAAAAGTTTTAACAGAGATTTAGGAAAAAATGAGTAATACAGACATGTAACAATTAAAAAAGGAAATTTACTGTACCAACAAGCAAGTGTCTCCACTTCAATTCTGCTACTAGTATTAGCAACTTGGGTTCTATTTATACATTTCAGAAGCCTCATAAATAAAACTGCATACTACAAGAGAACAAGCTTCCTAATTTAGGGAGAAAAACAATATCCGTCTAACTTTCCTTCTATCTACCTATAAAATTCATTTTTACTTAGCTTATTTTACCTTCTTTCCTATCTTATAAGGAAAAGCATAATATTTTGTGTTCTCAGTGCCCCTCAGAACTCTTTTTAGTATTAGTTTCATTTAACTATTTATGTAAGACAGGTCTTTCCATCATTTTAATTTTTGACTATAAGAAAGTCTGTGGCCTATAAGCCTGCTTAGTGTTAAAGAAACTTGCAACTAAGTCTGAAGATCTGAGTACAATTACCAGGAACCACACAGTGGAAGGAGGGACTGACTCCCACAAGATGCACCCCCCAACACACACACATACAACGTAATTAAAAACTTTAATAAGTCTAGTCACATAATCTGAATGCACATGAATATTGTAATATTTAAAATTATGGCCTCTGTATTTATAGTTTAAGGTCACAAAAATTTTAACCACACAGCTTCCAAAGAAAGGAAGAAAACAATATATTTACAAATTCCTTTATATAACCTAATTGAATCTCTAAAAATAGTCAAAAATAAATTGAATTTTAATATCAGATGATCCATATACTAAAGGTTGGATCATCAATGTACCTCAAAGGCCCTTATATTTTAGGATTGGGTTCTAGTCTGTAGCATAACTGGTAGGTGGTGGAACCTTGAGAAGAGGGGTCTAATGGAAGGAAGTTAGAACACTGGGGGTCAAGAGGGTTGCCCAAGGAGATATAGGGGCACTGCCATTCCACTTCTGTTTTTCTCTTCTCAAATGTCATCAGGTGAGCACATCTGTTCCACTTTTCATTCCCCATCAAGATGTGCTGCCTTTAAATAAAGCCAAAAGCCAAGGGACCAACCAACTATGGAGTAGGACCTGGGAAACTATGAGCCAAAATAAACCTTTTCACAAAAGTTTATAATCAGAGGGGCCAGTGAGAGGGCTCAGCAAGGAAAGGGCATGCGCCACCAAGCCTCATGACCTGAATCTGATTCCCTGAGTCCACGTGGTAGAAGGAGAGACCTCCATACCCATTCTGGGGTATGAGCATGCACACACAGAATGAATAAACAAATTTTTTTATCAAAGTTTTTAGGTAGAAAGTATCTGTATTCATTACTTTTCTTGTTACTGTAATACTTGAAGTAAAAAAAAAAGTGCATCAGGTATTTTGCCACAGTGACAGAAAGCTTGGTAATACAGCATAATTACTATACATTTAGTTACTACAATAAACAACTTGTATACTGCTTTATTCCTATCTCTTAGGACCCAGTCAAGTTTTGAGCTAAACTAGTATGAAATCAGTAATATACAGACCTTTAAAAATCTTGATATAAATGATTCTCTATACTTACTACTACTATTATAAACTTCATTCATAAAATAAAAGCATGCAGTAAGCAAAAACAGTCATTTGTAATGAAAACCAAATATGGTCTCTGCTCTCAAAGGCATACAATCATGTGTGGGTATATGTGTGTGTGTGTGTGTGTGTGTGTGTGTGTGTGTGTGAGTGTGTGTGTGTGCGTGTGTGTGTTTGTGTGTACATGTTGAAAATCAAATATGGTCTCTGCGCTCAAAGGCATACAATCATGTGGGGGTATATGAGAGTGTGTGTGTGTGTGTGTTTTTTTTTTTGTGTGTGTGTACATTAGACAGGCTGCGAAGAAATAAAAAAAAAAAAAAAACAGATACATTAAAATTGGGTATTACTCACTGTAAAGCAAAAGCGGCCACAGAGAATATATAATGTTAGTGGTCATGTTCTATTGAGATTTTATTTATAACTACAAATAGTAGGTCATATTTAGCCATAGACTAACCACCAAACTGTAAACAATATAGTAATTCATTCAAAGTGCTTTAAAATATCTTTTCAATAAGTGACTAAAGACTAAGTACATTTTTGAGTTCACAGTCCTTTCAAATACTTTTATTTTTAGGGTGGAGAGGTGGTTCAGTGGTTAAGAGCATTGGCTGCTCTTGCAGAGGACCTTAGTTTAGTTCCCAGCACCTACATGGTACCTATCACCTATCTATAACTCCAGTTCCAGGGAATCTGACATCCTCTTCTGGCCTCTGAGAGCACTGCACACATGGGCAAACTTATAGGCAGGCAAAACACTCATTCACATAAAAATACAAGTAAATAAAATATTATTCTCTTACTATTTGCTCTTAAGCTGCCATCACTTCTTGGTGTTAGCTTATTATTAAAGGCTCAATCATTTCTAATTTTACAACAGACTAGAAAGCCAACAAAGCTTCACTGAAGCCCTTTTAAGTCAGTATTAACAAATGATTTTTATGAGCTCTACTGTGTGATCTCTATTTGAGACACAGATGGTTTTACGTAACATTTTTATCTTTGTGTCATATAAAAGAATGTGGTTCAAAGAAGGATGAAGTCAGTATTACCAGACTACCATAATGAATACCAAAAACAGACCAGAACATTTTTTTATATTTAACCCCAAGAATTACATAAAAATATTAAGTCTTTCAAAATACCTTACACTCATATTTTAGATAATAAACCCAATTCTTTTAAGATTAAAGATTTAAAAACTGTAAATTGTATTTTAAAGGGGTATCACTTTGACTTACTTAGGCAACATTTTCAATTGGTTTTCTCTAAGTTCTAGTATCTGGAGTTTAGTTAATCTGTAAAACAAGGAACAAATCAAGACAAAGGAATCAAATACAATGAACTTAATTAACTAATATCACAGTCTAAAGTAAAGCAAGCAGCATTAATCATGTAATTACTATATACAGAGTAATATTAAATGTCAAAGAGGAATAAAAATCAACAAATAAACTCAAAATTACAGTGAGGGAGGGGCTGGTGAGATGTCTCAGTAGTTAAGAGCACTGGCTGCTCTTACACAGGACCTGGGTTTGGTTCCCAGCACCCACTCAGCAGCTCACAACCATCCATAACTCCAGTTCCATTGGATCCATTACCCTCTTCTGGCTCCCATGGGCATTGCACACACGTGGTATACTTACATGCCAGCAAAACACTCAAAGATATAAAATAAAAATAAATAAAAAAATTAACGTGGGATAAAGGTAGGCACTTCTTTTAATAAACATCCTCATTATTATTATTACTATGTGTATGTGCGTGGTGCGTGTGGGTGTAGATGTGCATGTGTGTACATGCACGACATACATGTGGAGGTCAGAGGACAAGTCTGTGCAGTTGGTCCTTTCCTTCGAGCTTTATGTCAGTTCTGGGGATCAAACTCAGTCATCAGGCTTATAAAGTTAAGTGTCTTTACCTGATGAGCCATCTTGTTGGCCCCAAGTAAGCACTTTGATATTTTTCAAAGGGACAAAGTGATTATGCCTAATAACCAATCCTAGAACAAATTCTATGCCTTTCACTGAAAATATCGACCAAAAATTGCTTACTACTGTAATACAAATCTAGGGCACAGACCCAGAAGAAATAAATAAGGGAACATGAGGAACATGGAAGAGAAGCATGCTGGCACTTGAGTGTGCATACAGAAATGAGGGAAACCTCAGAAGCAGATTCCTTTTTCTCAAGAACTTTGATGCCAACGTGGAAACCATCTAAATCAACTGTTAAGTCACTTTAAACCTTGATAAATGCTGACACAGCATTCAGTATCTCAAATACAAAGGGATTATCCCTATTAAAGCCTTCTGGTTTGGCCTCCTTAAAAACAAGCTGGGTATGCTGGCCTTTAGACCTAGCACTCTAGATGCAGTGGCAAGAAGATCTTTTTGAGTTTGAGGCCAGCCAGGATAGCAAGCGCCAGGCCAGACAGGGCTACATAGTGAGACCCTGTTTCCCAAAAACAAAACAAAAAAAAAAAGGACATTTTATTTTTTTCTTTTAAGTGCTCGCATCTGACAGTTTATTTGTGAAAGTAAATCCGAAGTGCAAACAAGATTGAAAGAAACCTTAAGAATTGCAATGCTTTGAAAAGTCACAAAAGAAAAGACTATGAATTGTGATTAAAACCGTAATTTACCTGCCAAAATTAGCTGGTAAGAATTCAAGGAAAGCATCATTCAGATACAACTGGGTTAGGTTTAACAGCTGAGAAAATCCATCAGGGAGCCTACATAAAAAATAAAAGAATTAAATTAAGCTCATACTTCAAATTTCTCTAAGAATCTGTGTAATAAAGACAAGTTTCACAACAAGTAAGAGTCACCTCTTTACTTTTACTAGTGATCTTTAAATTAAGATTTGTCTTTGTATTTACTTACCTATTACAATGTTAGTAACTTCATGTCTTTGTAAAGAGGAAGATAAAATTTGTCTTCATAACAAAAAATCTGCATGAAATAGTTCATTAAGAATGAGCTGGATAAGCTGGGCATGGTGACACACACCTTTAATCCCAGAACCTGGGAGGCAGAGGCAGGTGGATTTCTCTGAGTTTGAGGCCAGCCTGATCTACATAGTTAGACCTTCTCAAAAAAAAAAAACGACCCAAAAGAATTAGCTGGAGGTTGGTAGCGGTAGTGTAAGACTTTAATCCCACTAGTTTTACTTCTATTCCCTTCTTCTTATGAAACAAGTTGTAGTTGTACAACTTGATGTTACAAAATATCTTCAAATTAGCATATATTTTATCTTTAGATATTGTCCTTAATTTTAACTATAAAAATCTCAAGTGGGAAGATATATCAGACTGACTCACTTTGCTTTTCCCTTATCTCACAACATTTCACCATCTTCCATACCAAGTGAAGCAACTCTATTTTTAGTAAAACCTATCAAGAAATATAGTATTCTAGGATATGAAAGATGCTTTCAGGCTAGGCGTGGTAGCACATGCCTTTAATCCTAGCACTAAGGAGGCAGAGGCAGATGGATCTCTGTCAGTTCAGGCCAGCCTGGTCTGCAGAGTAAGTTCTAGGCAAGCCAGGGCTACACAGTGAGACACCGTCTCAAAAATAAAACAAAAGATGCTTTCAATTTAATTATACTAAGCTGTGCTTTTTTCCACTCATCTTCAGCAATACCATTTCAACTGTACAAAACTTAGCTCCAGGAAAACTTTCTTTAAAGCTATTACCATCATAAAAGAACACACAAAGCCTAGGGTATACATGGTAACAATCACCCTTTTCCTTTGGCTACTCTCTTTCAGTTTCTTTTCAAAGTGCATAACATCTAGTTCCAAGGCAAAGACATGATGCGTACAAACTGTAATCTCACTTTTTACATTTAGTACCTGTGAGATCTAGAGCAAAATCACTTGCGTTATCTCTTTCAGATCACAATTTTATATCTGTGGTATTTGGGCCAGATACTACTAATTTTTTTAGATTTTATATTATTAACTTATGTATATGAGTATACTGCCTACATTTAAGTACACCTATTCATGCAATGCCTGTAGAAAACAGAAGAGGCCGTCAGATCCCCTGGAACTGGAGTTATGGACGATTGCTAGCTGCCATGTGGGTACTGGGATTGGAACCCAGGTCTTCTGCAAGAACAGCCAGTGTGCTTAACAGCTGAGCCATCATTGGGTCAAAAATATTATTAAAAGGTGATTTTTTTTTAACCTTTAAAACTGGATCTCCATACAGTTTTAAGACTGATACAGATTTTTTTCCTTAAAATATGTAAATAAGTATTATATTCTACTACTGTTCCATAAATGTTATAATAAAAAACTTATAATGCAACTGAAAAGACTTACTTAGAAATAGGGTTTACACTGGCCTCCACGACTGTCAAAACCTTACAATTTTTAATATTTTCAGGAAATTCTTGTATTCCTAGAAAACAAGTAAACAAATTAAAAGAATGTAGAACAGATACTTTAGCCTGGGCGGGGGAACAGGTGTATTTATTACAAAGGCCAAAATTATAATAAAATCATTGAGACAATTCAAGAACTACCAAGAATCAGGTAAATTGACACCACCTATGCAAACCAGACCACCTCTACAACCATTTGTCCTTTTTTGTTCTTTTCTTTTTATAATTTTTAATCACTACATGATTAGAAGCTTTTCACTACAGCTTTAACATATTCAGTGACACACTCCAGAGCAACAGTACATCTCTTTCACAAGTGGGTGCAAGTTTCTAGGTTCACAGTTGAATTAATATAGTTATATATTATTTAACTCAGTATAAGCCCTGTAAGACATAAAACTGGATGAGTTTTTAAGATTTAAAAAAGATCTCCAATTCATTTTAGAATATACTGTTCCTTGCAGACAGACTCATTGTTTTTGCTACTAACACTGAGATGTTGGCACATGCATCTCTAATCTGTATGTATCTGATTATTACTAGTCAAAATTGGTTGCACTTGGATCCTTGGCACCTGTGTATGTCTATAAAGTCATCGGGAAGATTTCAATGGTATTGTTTATCACCTCTACTAATTAGCATGACGTAAATTTCCATGCTTCCTCCTCAAACATGATACATTTTTTAAAAAATTTGATTTTTTTTTGTGCGTGTGTGTATATCACACAGAACGTCCCAAACCATCTCATTCAACTATACACCCACTTCCCAGATGGCACCCTCCCATAGCCTCCCTCCCCCAACTAGAGCCCTTATACTTTCATATCCCTGCTACTGTCTGCTGTGTTGTCAGCACCCTCAGCCATTCCCCACTACTTGCCCTTCTGGTGAATCTAGTCAGCCTGTCTAGAGGTCTTTGTTTTAGGAGGGTCAGCTGTTCCTCATCTAGCAGCAATCAGTTGTCAATATTCCTTTGGATAATTTGTCCTTTTTACTTCGACTATCTTTCATTTCCCTCTTTACAACCAGTAAGTACTTCAATTAGTTTTCTTTCCTTTTTTTAGCACTTTTGAAAATTAGTAGCTTTTTAATATATTTTTAAAAATGTATTATTATTTTATGTGTATGTGCATATTGCCTGCATGCAGGCAAGTGCACCTGTGTCATGCAATGCCTGCAGAGGACAGAATAGGCTGTTGGATCCCCTGGAACTGGAGTTACAGACAGTTGTTAGCTGCTATATGGGTGTGGGATTTGAACTCAGATCTTCTGCAAGAACAGCCAGTGTTCTTAACTGCTGAGCGAACTCTCCAGCCCCATTAATAGCTTTTCTATGAACCCACTGATGATAAAGACAAAATGTAGAATATTTACCATTCTTGTTTCTCTTAGGTAAAAAAAGAATATCGCTTTTAAAATGCTGGGTTCTAGAGTGAGCTTTTCTCTAATACACATAAACAAAGCTGAAAACAAACCTGCAGCTAGAAGAGGTGGAAACTATGGATGAAATGCACCCTAAAATACGTCCAAAGGCAGTATTCCCACTCCAAAGATAAAGAACCATTTTCTCTCAGTGCTGAAGAGATAGTTCAGTGGTTAAGATCATTTACTCCTCTTCTAGAGGAACTGAGTTCAGTTCCCAGCACTCACATGGTGGCTAACACATCTTAACTCCAGTTTCAGAGGATTTCATGCCCTCTTCTGGTCACCTCGGGCACCAGGAATGCACGTGGTGCATTTACATACATAGAAGCAAAACAGTCAAACACATAAAAAATAAAAGTCTTTTAAAAAATTTCTTATATCGTCTCATTTTTCCATTTCTCTCTTTTTTCAACCTTTGTACTTCACGTACCCAGTGGGAACCTCACAATATAACTATTTAAGGACCACAGGGATTTCTGCACACCATGATGTGTATGTTGTTCAAGAGAACCACCAGATATTCCAACTTCTGTATGCCTTTCAAAACCAAATAAGGTAAAGATTTTTCTTAAATTCCCATCCATAGACCTGTATGTTTGAAATATACCTAATTATTGTAATAATGTTAATTTTTAGTAGAAAATTCTAAGCACACACTCATTTCCTCAACTTATCACACAAAAAATACAGTAACAAATAATGTGCAATATAGCACTAGTCCTCAGACAAATTTTGAACTAATACTCTTAATGTAAAGGAATGTTAAGAACTTTTAAAGAAAAAAATCCCTCATATAAATTTTACAGTTTCCTAATTAAAAAGACCTACCCACTCCTTCATTAATAAAATGTGATTATCCAATAAGGTTGTCACTATAGGTTTAAAAAGGCCCTTTCAATTCATCAAAGATGATTACATGAAAAAAAAAAAAAACAAAAAAACAAGCCGGGCATGGTGGCGCACGCCTTTAATCCCAGCACTAGGGAAGCAGAGGCAGGCGGATCTCTGTGAGTTCAAGGCCAGCCTGGTCTACATAGTGAGTTCCATAACAGCTGGGGCTACAGGGAGACCCTATCTCAAAGAGACCAAACAAAACAAACTTTACAATTAAACTAAGTGCAAAGTTCCACATAATAAAATGAATGATGCAAAATCAACTAGCAAAAGCAATAGTTTTAACTGTGTTGGTCAAAAGTTAGCAACATGCTAGGTGTGGTAGAATGAGCTGGGTGTGGTAGAACCTGTACTTAACATATGGAAGGCCCTAGGTTTAACCTCCAACATCATCAAAGAAAAAGAACCTTTAGCAGTGGTGGTGCACCTCTTTAATCCCAGCACTAGGGATCAAGAGGCAGGCAGAGCTCTGTAAATTCAAGGCCAACTTGGTCTACTAGAGTTAGTTCAAGGCCACACAGATACACGGTAACGACAGTCTCAAAACAAAACCATAAAAATCTCTCCAATGGATACCAAAATTAGTGAATAAGAAGTAAACTATTGGGGCTGGAGAGATGGCTCAGTGGTTAAGAACACTGGCTGCTCTTGCATGTGGGTTTGAATTCCAGCACCCACATGGCAGCTAACAACTGTCCGAAACGCCAGTTCCAGGGAATCCAACAGCCTCTTGTCTTCCCTGGGCATTGCGCGACACAGGTGCACTTACCTACATGTAAGCAATACATGGCATACACATAAAATAAAAAGAATAAATATTTTTTTAAAAAGAAGTATCCTATTAATTGTTGCAAGGATTCCTCCTATAAGGCACTCTGTAAGAACAAAGATTAACTGAGTTTGACAAGTACTACCTAAATGAAACGGTTCAAAGTTAGCAGTCACCAGCTGGCCTCATTGTGTGACAACTGGGAAAGAATGTAAAAGCACAAAATCTGAATTTAGTAACAAGTAAGCATCAAACAAGCCCAGAATAAGTGAACTTCAGCTAAAAGAATGGCCAATACAGCAGACCGCCAGAGAGTGCCAAGTTCTGGTCTCCCCCTGGCCTCCCTCTGGCCTAGGGACTGAGAATGCAGGAAGCCCCTGGATACTGCCTCCACAGGGTGGTGAGCTTCCCCTAATTGCACCATACCCATCCCCCTACCTGGGATTTCCTGAGGCCCTGCTCAAGGCCCCAGGGCACATCTGACTTTGGTAGGCTAAAGATGAGATCCTCCCAGACAGCCTGAGAGGGTGAGTTTCAACCTCCACTGGTACAGCAGCTCTGATCTCAGCAGCCAGCCAGAGAGTTCTGGTCTCCCTCTGGCCTCCCTCCTGCATAGGGGCTGAGAATGCAGGGGACTGCCTGAGAGAGCCGGGATTCTGCTCCATGTGGTAAAGGAAGGCTGAGTTTACCTGACTGGAATCTGAATTGGGCTTCTGTGGGCACTTCTGAATAGCTGATCTGAAGCCATCAGTTCCTTGCAAATTAAACCTGTCAGCCAGAGAGTTCTGGTCTCCCTCTGGCCTCCCTCCTGCATAGGGGCTGAGAATGCAGGGGACTGCCTGAGAGAGCCGGGATTCTGCTCCATGTGGTAAAGGAAGGCTGAGTTTACCTGACTGGAATCTGAATTGGGCTTCTGTGGGCACTTCTGAATAGCTGATCTGAAGCCATCAGTTCCTTGCAAATTAAACCTGTGAGAACCTGAACCCCGTACCAACCAGCTTTACATAACCAATAAAGAAAGGATCTAGACACCCCGATAATACAAACTGAAGCATACTTCAACTTAATTCTCATATTGGAATCATAAACAACAAAAGAAATTCACATGCCAAAATCACAACGAAAGAATAATAAAATGGAAAGTCAAAACACTATGTCCTCACCAAACTTTATCAGTGCTGTAGAAGAGTTCTACAGGAGAACCTAGAGATAACCCAGGACACTGAATTTAAAAGAACAATCATAAACATGATCAAAGAATTCAACGAATTTAAGGAACACACGAACAAACAAATCAAAGAACTAAAAGAAGATAGGATAAACTTCTGAATGAATGCACAAAAGCGATAGAAACATTGAAAAAAACTCAGGCAGAAATGAAGAAGGAAGTGCAAAATTCAATAAGCCAACTTGAAACAAGAGGGAAAAGCTTTACTGCTAGAATGAATGAAATGGAAAACAGAATATCAACACTGGATGATAAAGTTGAAGAATTAGATCTCAGGCAAAGATTATGGAAAACTTAAAAAAACACAGGAATGGAATATGCAAGAGATGTAGGGCACCATGAAAAGACCAAATCTTCAGATCATAGGCATAGAGGAAGGAGAAGAATTTCAGGTTAATGGTATTGAGCACATCTTACAGGATTGTAGAAAGAATTTCCCAAAATTAAAGAAAGACATCCTCATACAAATACAGGATGCACATAGAACACCAAATAGACAGGATCAGAAAAGAAACTCCCCACAACATATCATAGTAAAAACATTAAATGTACAGAACAAAGAGAGAATACAGAAAGCAGCAAAAGAAAAACAACAAGTCACATACAAAGGAATGACCTTCAGAATTACAGCTGACTTATCAATGCAAACTATGAAAGACAGAAGAGCTTGGACCAAGGTATTTCCAGTTCTACATGACAAT